CAGACAGACAGACAGACAGACAGACAGACAGACAGACAGACAGACAGACAGACAGACAGACAGACAGACAGACAGACAGACAGACAGACAGACAGACAGACAGGCAGACAGACAGACAGACAGACAGATATAGATAGATAGAGAGATAGATAGATAGATAGATAGATACAACAAAGATTTTAAAATGTAAAAGAAGGGGGAAATTAATTAAATTAGCAGACAGACAAGGAAGGGAAAAATTAAGTCAATCTGAAAATGAAGTTTTTTGGATTTGATTTTATTTATTGGACACATATGCATCACATCAAGATCACGAACACAGTCCTGTATAAAAGAAAGACTAACCACAACTTTTCATTATATTTTGCTCTCTCTCTCTCTCTCTCTCTCTCTCTCTCTCTCTCTCTCTCTCTCTCTCTCTCTCTCTCTGTGTGTATCAATTTGTCTTAATTTAATCACGTTTTTCCCCTGCAATTTATGCTAGATTATAAAACTTTTCTTCGTATATTTTTTATGAAATACTATCAATCTCTGTTACGCGGGAAATGGACTTGTTCCCAGCACTCCCCACTTCTCACACACATTTTGTATACACATAAATATATGGCCTGAGCTGCAGCTCACCAATAACAAATTTTAGCCAATAGTGCGGTCAAAAATTCGTGGCGCAACTTATTGACATAACTCCTCAACTATCGAGCATATAGGTTCTCCAATTTTTGCACAATGACCTGTGTCAATTTTTCTTAACAGATCAACATTTTGGTATATTTCATGCTGCTAGATGTAGATCTATTCTAGAAAATTCCTTAATAAACTTTAATACTAATTTAAAAAATCCAAGTGGATGGTTTCTACATATTTTAAAATGTTTACAGCTGGGGCAATATTGCTTGTAATAGCAAGTCTTGTTTTTCTAATCGAGACATTATGCTTATTGAACGCATGTTTTGAGAGCCATTAGTGCAAAAATGTGTTCACTATAACAATATAATTTCTTGTAAAAAGTGTTGCAACTAAAAATTGTCATTGATGAGCTGTGACGTAGGCCATATATGCGTAATAAAAATGTGCGTGAGAAGCGAGAAGTGCTGTGAACAATCCCATTTTACGTGTGACAGAGATTTTAGGTATTTTATATAGATTTATGAAGAAAAGTTTATAATATATCTAGCCCCAATTGTTCTGACAAAAAATGTGATAAATAGAACAAGAGGTCCACCAACTATACACAAATACTATTCTGTCTCATTTGCGGAACCGATGCCAAACAGCAATTGCAACAGCAGCAGCAGCAGGGGTTCACGGAAGATTGGGTGTTTTTAATCCTCACAAAAAATGGCGACAAAGCGAGCTGAGTGGGCAAGCGCGCGCACACAGCCATAGTGAGTTTGCGTGGGTGACGTCACAGCTGCGACCTCTCGTACTATCATATCCTCTTTGTTATAACTTCTTTGCTGTGAACACATTAATTTTAGCACAAGGCATAATGGTTCTCAAAACATTCGTTCAATAAGCATAATGAATGGTATGATAAGATAAAAATGACGGACTTGCTTTTAAAAGCGAAATTTCCCCATCTGTAAACTTTTTAAAATCTGTGGAAACCATCGACTGGGATTTTTAAAATTAGTATTTAGCATACTAGATCTAGATCTTAAGATTTTCTAGAATGTACAGGCGCTTGAAAAAATATTCATCAATTTAAGACAAATTAATATAAGTCATTGTATGAAAGTAGGAGAATCTATGTTGGGTGGTTAAAGAGATATTTGAGAATAAGTTGCGCCACGAATTTTTGACCGTACTATTTTATATTAACAATAAAAATCTACTGTCATATCAGCACTTAACAATTAATGAAGTTAAATTAAAAAGAGCTCAAATCAGAGACCTTGTCTACTCTGTCGCTCTTGAAGTGTCTCACAGCACGGTGAAAGGGTTTACCAAACCTCCTCTTCTCTTCAATTCCCTGTAATGCTTGGAATCGTTAGCGTCCTCTGAAATCTTTGACGTTAAAATCTTACTTAAAGTCTCTGATTCAGTTACATTTATTAGTTCAAAATAGTAAACATAATTAATTATCGTTTTTGCTGAGTTACCAAATCACGTGGACAGCTCTTCCACCAGGAATCCTTCTATAACGCTTCCGAAGTTGATGGTTGACGGGTGCTCTGATGTGGGTTGCCATTTCTTTTCTTTGTATGTTAATTACTATCTCTATTATCACCGCTAATCTTTAACTCTTGTATTACATATTTGTATTGCAGGTAGGCCTAACGTACGGTATCATAACACTCTTACGAAAACTGAAGCTTCAAATAAACAATATACGTCACTGCAATTATGACTATTCTAACTAAACTTTCACTTAGGAAACCAGCAGGGGCGAAGGCTGACTTGTTTGACAGGGTAATCAAAGTGAGATGGGATCAGGTAGGGCCTGGAGATATCACACTCACACAAGTCACAAGAATCTTACTGGAGGCGGCAACTCTGAGTTGTGAATGAAAACAAATCCTGAATTCATGTTGAATACATTATTCAACCGCTAAAATAATTGGGAAAGTATTTCATTAAACATTTATTCTAACTAACCTTAAATTTAACTTTAGATTTGAATACACGAACGCCAAGGAAAGAAGCAGAGATGTCAGTACTACAATGGCATGTTATATCAGACAGTCTAAACCCTTTGGTAGAGCATGCCAATTATTAATTTATTTTTTTTCAAATTTGGCTGTTTTTGTCTAGCTTTTCGCGGCCAGGAGCCGGTGTCTTAATCGAGGTCATGATCTGATTATAGGACGTTAAAAAGTCGAGGAAAAAACAAGCACTCGCAGCAGTCAAGATATTATTAAAAGTTAGTTCCCCTCACATCTGTGAGGTAGACTCGACCAGTGTAATAGTTCGCTTACATAATCAACGCGTGCGACTGCTTATAACTGTGGCTCGAAAGGGGTGAACAGGGTATATTTGGCGATGAAACAGTTTTGACTGCTATGCACATGTTCCCTTCAACTCCATTGGTAGACTCTTCCATCCTCATTTTAAGCTTACTTTTAATCAAAGCTTGTGACTGCTTATGGAGTGGCCCGATTGGGGCGAACAGGCTATTTCTGTGGCAATGAAACGGTTTTGAAGGTTAGGCATAGTCTTTGGTTCATTGGTGATTATGAACGTCTTTTTACATTTAATTTAGGAGGTTTACGTCTATGGGTGAATTTGACTGCGACAATATGTTTCAAAATTAGGAAGGGAAGCAGTGATTATTTGATTATATAGACCCTTCGCCACTGCATGGAAACCAGAGCCCCTTGCTTCCAAGAAACAGCTAGAATATCTAATCGCTTAACTTAATTTAAAAAATGGTAACTGAACATGAATCGCGAGCGCATTTCTGTGTTGATATTCTGAATCGTTGTATGTTGATTTTTGGACCAATCCTCTCGAATTTTCCCTAGTTGATCATTAAAGTTTATCTCATCTTATACAACATACACTTAATACGGTGTTGTTGTTGTTGTTGTTGTTGTTGTTGCTTTCAGGTTAATAGTCATGCCAGTCTTTGTAAGCCTGAGAGAATCTGTCCTTGATGCACTCTAGTCTTCGCTCAGCAGCGTCATTTGCGGAAAGTCCCAAATGATGTTTTAGCGCCACTTATGGATACCATATAATATATATAAATATAATATATCCCCACTGTATAATGTACATGGTAACTGTATAATGTACATGATAGGAGCCTAAAAGCTTATTTGGGGAAAGGTATTGGATAGTGGCTGTATGCCTTCTCTGAGTAGGCCTGGGTAGTGGGTTTTACCTCCCACAACTGTAAAAATACCGTGATGGAGTTAACAAAACATAACCTAATACTACGGAGAAATGAGTAGGCCTACACATCAAAGACTGGTACCGGTACTGTGTAGCCTATAATTAAAGGAAAAGTAGCCTAAGCTGTAAGCAAAGATCGTGTAGTAAAGAATCTTTGGTAGGTGTATCTTTGCAACGGAGTTCAGAAACGACAGAGATCGAACGAAAAAAGACGTATGGTGAAAGAAAGAGCCATGCGATTTACTAAAGTTGAAATTCCTGTTTAAGGTTCAGCTGAAGGGACTAATTCTAGGCATAGGCTTAGTTATGATAATATCACTCTCTTATTCTCCTCCCACCCGAAAAAAAAATCCTCTGGCTCCTAAAGAGGTAACTCATTAATACAGGCCACAGAATTCTACACTAAGTGTAGAATTCTGTGGCAATAGATTAAGCTTAGCTCCCTTGACTTGAACTCTTTGTTGTTCTTAGAACAAGTTTCTCTTTTCTTTCCTGCCTATCGTGTGTGCAGTGTGCATCTACAAAGAAGCAAAAAAATAAGCATCGTGTCAGATCGTTTTATGCGGCCAATACATTTGATTTGTTCACGAAAATTGTACCAGCATTGGGTATTATAAAAGCCAAGGTGTCTGATAGCGTTTATGTAAGTACTAGAATAATTAGTTTTCTGTTTGCATCCGTCCTGTGCCTGTACTTTTTTATCGAGCCAACATTCAACATGCATGCTAATTTTGTGATTTGTTACCCTCGTTCTGAAACACAATACAAACTGGATGGGAATCTGAAGAAACTAAACATAATTTAAATAGCAACCGCAAGAGGTCTACATTTATTACACAATCACAATGTTTGCTGGGTCTGGATGATCTAGAATCTAGATATCTAGAGTCTAGTCTAGAATCTAGAATCTAGTAAATTCTACCCACATGCATCTCTTTTCAGATGCCATCCATGGCTCCCTGCCCACACCAACTTTGACTTGGTGGGTGTGTGTGTGTGTGTGTGGGGGGGGGGGGGGGGGGGTGAGGAAGTTGTTACAGGACCTGTCTTATTCTAAATTCTATCTAGATCTAGTTATCTAGATCTAGATTCTAGATTTAGCTAATAATAATGATGAGACCAGACTACAGCTTATATTCACAGTTAAATTTTGGGTGATCTTTTGTAGTTCCGTTCGTTAAAGTCCACGATCCATTTGTTTACATCCAGAGTAGAGAAGAAATCGGCACTACTTGGATATGGTGGTCCCGACTTTTGTGACAGGGAAATATAACTTAACCTAGAGAAAATCTAGATTAGAACGATTACTTCTGGTTCTAAGTCTAAACGATTACTTTTTGATTCATGTGCCGGAGAGATAGCCTTTCAAACCTCCTAATTGCAAAAAAACATCAAGTCATGGTCAAATTCAGAGGGGCATGCCCCCCTGAAACACCCCATGTTTTGTTTTTTTTAAGTCAGGGGGGCTTTCTGACTGAAAAACAAGTGAAATTTTACTGTTCATTTTGTAGGCTAGATTTAGAATCTAGGCTACTGATAAAACATAAAACATTGATACCGACTATTTGAATCAGTATCGATATTTCAGTTGCATACACTACACAAAAGTCGGGACCACCATATCCAAGTAGTGCCAAGAAATCCAGAAGTCTTGATGACCAAATACTATTTGAATTAGGCTACACAAAGAGCAGGGATGCAACCTAACTGCAAAACATCAAATTAGGATAAAATTCAGGGGGGCATGCCCCCCTGAACCCCCCCACCTCCATATTTTTATCGAAGTGTATACAGACCCGGTAACCGGGAACAAAGTCACGAAGTATACAGACCCGGTAGGGGAACTCTTTTGTGATTTCGGGAAGTTTCAACCCCCAGACCCGGTAGAAATCTAGTGTGTGTGTGTGTGAGAGAGAGAGAGAGCGAGAGAGAAAGAGAAAGAGAGGAGGGGGGGTGCTAGCAAAATGTATATGACATGCCCCAGCTGGCAGGAGGGAACGAGAGAAAGATAGAGTGGGAAATAGGTGGGGACAAAGAAAGACAGAGACAAACAAAGAAAAAGAGAAGGCGAGCGATTCACAGAGGAGAGAGAGGGGGGGGGGGGCTGCTCGATTGAAATTATGACATTGTAACTTGTTCTTTTCTTCAAATTGTGATTCCTCCAACTCCAAAACGGAGGAAAAACGATCGTTCATCGAAAAGACATCTGCAATCTTCATTTAGATCTAGGCTAGCCGCGAAATTAGATCAAAGATTTAAGTTTGTCTGCCTAGATCTAGATCTAGACCATAGAGCCAAGAGGGCGCTGGAAACTCTCCGAAATCACAAAAGAGTTCCCTTACCGGGTCTGTATACTTTGTGACTTAATTCCCGGTTACCGGGTCTGTACTGTATACACTCCCTATTTTTATTGGCCACCTCTATTCTCACCCGGAGTGAGAATAGTGCAGGCAAGTCTTGTGGCTATTCTCACCCGGTGCGCGTTCACCAAATTTTGCGTTCACCCTAAACCACAGAATTCTACACTGTGATAACAGAAAAATTGTAGGAAGAGGCTAGCCGTACTTAATGACGGCTAGACTGGCAGTCTAGCCGTACTTAAGTACGGCTAGACTCGCAGTCTAGCTGTACTTATTCTTAATATGATGGCTAGACTGACCATTTAACAAAAAATAGGCCTCTACTGAATTGTAAATATACTTTTTTAGTGTGCAGTACCTAAAGTATTTGTATTTGAGACGAAACCAGGTGCCTAAATGACAGTGTATGTATTTTAAACCTCCTGATAAGTACGGCTAGACTGGCAGGCTAGCCGTACTTAAGTACGGGTAGACAGCCAGGCTAGCTGTACTTAAGGACGGCTAGACTGTCAGGCTAGCCGTACTTAATATTGATGGCTAAATTGTAAATGAAATTTTTAGTTTGCAATGCCTAAAGTATTTGTATTTCAGACAAAACGAAAAGGTGCCTTACTGACTTGCATGTATTTGAACCTGAATAATTACTAGGTCTAGATCTAATGAGACCTGTGTACTTAACAGGCTTGAGTCGATAGGGCCAAACCTAGATCTAACTTGTACGGCTAGACTTGCAGTCTTAAGTACGGCTAGCCACTTCGAAAATTGTAGAATTCTGTGCCGTGAACAAACGTTCCATTACAACTGTAGCCTACTAAAAGCGTACAATTTTGTCTGTGGGCAGTGGAGAGAGAGGAGAGAGAGAAAGAGAGAGAGGAGTAGCGCGAGAATTTCCGGGCAAAACAAAATGGGGACCCGCGTAGTTCGGCTCGATTCGAAAAGTTAAATAGCCGTAGCATCTTTGTAGACAACCAAATTAATTTACTTTTGTGTTTTAACATCATTTTTTAACTTTGTTTTGGTCAATTTGATCGTCCACACCGATAGACAGTATTCAGAAAGAGACAGAGAGAGAGAGAAGAGGGGAGGAGTTGATCTTGCGAGAACTTCCGGGCGGGTGAAAATAGCCACTTTCATTTTTATTAGGCCAAATTTTGAATTGTGGTTAAAACCAGTTAAAATCACATGAAGCTATACTCGGCTCTATAGAGGCTCTATTTTAGAGGCTATAGTGAGCTCCTAATCTAGCACACCTCCCTCTGTGATTGGCCCAAATATAGAGGTAACGTATTTCCGCCATCTGTTTTTGTCGTCTTCCGGGGCTTCTGTCGCCAGTTGACTTGATGATCACCGTGGCGGGCCCACTTTTTTGCTGCTTAGCGCACGATGGATTATGTCACTGGGAGGTTTCATTACCGACTGCTGGGGCTGTGTCACGTGAAGTGTGAGTGTGTACGCACGTGCGCTTGTGTGTGTGTATGTATACAACTTTGAGCAGAAGGTAAATTTATGGAAAGAGAATTGCAGAGATTGTTTAAAAGATAACACAAATTAAATTAACAACAACAACAAAAAAAAAACACGCCGAGATCTTCTATCTTGATCTAGATCTAGTCAACAGTTATTGTCAATGGAAACCCAAAAGTCTTGGGGGGAACCCTGGAAGACGACAAAAATAAATGGCGACTGCTTGGGCTGTGTATGCGCATATATGTGTGTGTGTCCCAGCGCTTGTGTGTGCATGTGTGTAGAACTTTGAGGAGAAGGTCGATTGATGGTACGAAAATTACTGAAATTGTTTTTATAATTTAAGATTATAACACAAGTTAAATACAAAAAAAAACAACAAACACGGCAAGATCTTGAGTAAATGGCAGGTTGTGGCAAGGGAAACCCAAGAGTCTTGGGGGAAACCCTGGAAGACGACAAAAATAGATGGCGTAAGTACGTCATCTGGGCCAATCACAGAGGTGTGCTTGGTGCTCACTGTAGCTTCATGTGTTAAAATCTTCTCAGGCAGATCTTTGACTTTGAATGCAGTTCTCTGTAATTTACTATGAAAATAGTTGCGATCTGCTCATGAAAGTGAAAGTGAAAGGACTCTTATTTCAATTGGTGATTGTGTCTGCACTATTTAGTGTGGACTAGACTCTAGTGTTTATAAGCTAGGCCAAGTATTCTAGTGACCACAAGTTTAATGTATGTTACTTTTTTGTGGATATATCTAGTAATGATAGTATTACTTTCTTCAGAATCTAGAACTGACGTAGGATGGAGTCACAAGTTTCTTAACTGCTCTACTATTTTAATTTGGTCTTTTACTATTTCAGTTCCCCCCCCCCCCCCCCCCCCCAAAAAAAAGTTGAAATTATGCGTAAAATATATGATCATTGTGACAAAGCTTTTACTTCCTCATGTTCATTCCTCAGTCTGTTCAGTGTTGCAAGAGAGGGGGGGGGGGAGGAAAAAAGATGATTAAAAAGAGGAGGACAAAGTTTTTGAATGAGTGGTGGTGTGGAAGGATCGGAAAAAGGCCGATTGAAGCTAAATTTATTGTGGTGATGGTCATGGCAATTGAAGAGAACAGCGATGGACAGGGTAAAAGATATATCTGTGTTCTGCCTAGTTGGATTAGTTCATGGTTGGAATGTCATCAAGTCATCTGAAAATTTATGATTCTCATCCCAGGCTACTGTTTGACTTAACAAAACCCTAGTCCTGCTCTAAAAGTTTGCATTTGATTCCATCACCATGTGAATGCTTACAGCTTTTTCATTTCATTATTACACACTGCTGATTTATGACTTTAAAACTTCGAGTCTACTTGGTGGTTCATCATTCTGTCATACTAATCAAACCTCCATCTTCAGAAACATGAAACTTGTATGACCTTTGATTCACTTGATTCAGTCATTAGTGAATTGTATACAGAACTGGTTGAAGCTTTTTTGTTTGAGGCTTCACAAGAAGGATATGTTGTCATAATGAACAATGTCTTTTTCCTTTTTTTTTTCTGTATCTTGATGGTTATTGTGTTCTCAAATTTGCTATGTCTGATTGTCTGTAGTAATTTTGTTATGCCACAGTGGAATCAGGCGCTTGTCACTTTTTGAGCATATATGGAGTTAATGGTATAATCTTATACTTAAAGCTTGTTTATTTGTCCTGCGTTTGATGAAAAAAAAAAAATCCATTCAAATTTAATAGAAATAGTAGATCTAGTTGAGATGTTTGTGAATGAAGGAGGTTGGGGGTCACTTGGTGTCAGAAGTAAAATTAGCGAGAAAACGGCCTCCAAAGTTAAGTGACTTCCAGAGCCTTGGAAATAAAAAATAATTGTTATGACCTTTGATCAACATTTTCCAGTAAAATCCACTAAAAAATATATTTTTAAAAATGTATTAGAGGTGTTGTGCCTTTAAAAAATTGATAAGAATTGCCCACCAGTGACAAAAATACTGGTTTCTTTGATTTCCTTATTCGTCAGCTTTCACCACTATATCACACAATTGCATTTTATTTTGCCAGTGCAACTAAAAATAAATATTTATGAGTTTTGTTCATACAAGGAAAGTAAAATGTTTCTATTTTTTAAAATCTGTTGCTGGTGGGTATTATTTTTCTAGCTGTGCAGACTCATGCTATTATGAGCAACATAATTCTCATTTCATATATATTACTTAGGTATTACAAAAAATAATTTACAGAAAATTACAAAGAATGAATTTGAATGAAGGGTGAAAAATGAGTACTTTGTGTGAAAAACATAAAATTTTGTTTTAAATAAATGATTTCTTTCAGCAGACACTTCAAAGTTTAGGGTATTTGACTCTTAGATTTTGTCATCTACAAATTTTTTCCTTGCGGTTTGCGAAAAGAATTTCTTTCGAAGTGAACTCATTTTGAATGGAGAGTTCTTGTAGAGGAGAGCGTTTTGTTCTTTCATCTGTTTTTCGGAAGTGATGATCGTAGTAGCTGTTTGACACATATGTTTTACACTTGAAAATATTGGTATTCTTTTCCTTTGCAAAGTGGAAGGTAAGGTTGACATATATTTCAACAATCAAATGTGTTCATATCTTTCATTTTTGCTCCCTGTTAAATTTACTGCCTAGTGTTTTATAAACAGATTCACTATTAGAATGCTTTAAACCTTTGCCAAAAGATGGTGTGCTATAAAGGGAGGATTATAGATAAAGCAGTTTCAGGTTCTAATAATTATGTTATCTTAATCGTTTAATAAAACATATATGATATCTTCTTCTTCTATCCCGTGGTTGGGGCAACCGTGGGGTCACTACTGCATTTGACAACCAGCTCTCGTCATTTCTCTTTGTCCTCTGCTTTCCTCAGATTGTGCTTCACTGACAATGTTTCACGCAAGTCTACTCTTGTCTCATTTGGTCTATTTGAGCTCTAACTGGACCTGAGACCATTTGTTGTGACGGTTTTTTTTTCATTGGTCTGCTCTGCTGTAATTACAGTAATTAGGCAACTAAAATTGCAAAGTGTCGAAAATGTAGTCTAGTAGAGTTCTGTTAATGGAAAAAAACACCCTCTTTTGGCAAAAGACGTTATAAGTATTCACATGTCATGTATTTGAATTGAAGTACAAAGGAGTTTGTAATCTAATATGACTTGTAATCTAAGTAAAATATCGTACAATATTTTAAGGAAAGAAGCTCATGTAAAGAGTCTTTAAAAAAATTTAAGAAATATATTTTACCAGCATTTAATTTTATCTATAATAGAAATTATGATAATATTGTAATCCTATTGTGTTTTTTCTCTCTGTTATAGGTTGAAAATACATCGGGTTTCAAGATGAGTCGACCATGGCTTTCAGATGATGTCCAGATAATTTCCGACTCGAGGTCAAGATCCAGATCTAGGTCGGGCTCTCGATCAAAGTCAAAGAAAACCAAAGTGGACCAGTTTGGGCGTTCATTGCCCTCGCGGTCTCGGAGTCGCAGTGGCAGTAGAGATCGAAATCCGAATAAGTACAGATCTGATTCTCGTTACCAGAGTAGGGGATCAGCTCGGGGTAGAAGTCGGTCGAGTCGAGATTCAGGCCCCTCGGGAAGGGGAAGGGAGGGGAGAGAAGGCAAGCGGCGCAGACGGTCCAGTAGCAGCAGTAGTGGAAGTGATAGTAGCAATGCTTCAACACACTCTCGGCTAGTGGCTAGCTCGAAGCCAAAGTATTTGAATGCCCGATTGTTTGTGGCAAATATTGTTTCCAAGGAGGTCACAAAAGATGAGCTGGCCAAGCATTTTGAGAAGTATGGAAATGTCGTGGGTAAGTTTGCTGATCTTGTTTTGCCAAAGGTCTTTATTCAAGATAACATTCCATTTGTATCCCATATAGGGGCCACCAAATCCTCATCTTGTATCTTTGACCTGTTGACTGTGTTTCACCTTATTTGAATTCGAAATATTTCTTAAATAACGTAGAAAGGTTTAAAAGTGAATAAAGTTTGATAGTGGATAATGTGGGAGTTCGTTAATTGCAAAGGTTTTATGGCTTTTCTGTGTTTCACCATATTTTGGAAAGTTTGTTGTTAGCGGCACCTGAGAATGAACGTAACTAACTTATTATCCCTTGCCATCAACATGGTTGGGGCTCAGGGTGGACGGATTTGGATGGCAAGTTATGGCAACACTTTTGTCATTGGTCTCACCTGTTTTCCTGAAAACCAGCTCTATTTCTGTTTATTAGTTCGTTTGGTGTTCTCATACTGACCAAAGAATTGTGTTTGCTCTTGGCAAAATTTGTTGAATAGCCCAATATGTACATTTTTTTTCTGGATCTAGGACATTTTAACAGCTTGCTTGACAATATATTATGTTATAGATTTGTATGTGAAGTTTTCATTGAACTGCTTTTTTTTGTTGATTCCTTGGATTTGAAAAAGTGGTTAAAAAAAGTGAGAGTACAATTTTGAAAGTAGCATTGTTTGTTCAACTGTAAAGCCATGTGCTTGCTAATATTACATTTCATTTCTTTATTGATTACATTCATTAAGTCTCTAGCTTTGTCATTTTCATATGTCTTGCAGTATGCTTGATAAACTGTTGAGTGTGGGTGGTTGGCGGGTGCTTTGGTGTGGTTTGCTCCTTCTTTCCTATCAAAGATGTATATCATCCTGATTTGTCCTCCTTTTTTTGTTTGTTACTGAATTGTAACACCCCTAATTTTCAGCACTTATATGACCTTATTGTGTTGCAAGTGCCGTAAAACTTTTACTAAAACATGTCTTTCAGTATGCTCAATAAACTGTCTATTTCAGGTGTCTTGCAGTATGCTTGATAAACTATTGAGTTGTCTATTTCAGATGTCTTGGTGCTTGGAAAAAATGCCAGCAAGTAGTGGGAAGTGTTGGTGACTGGACAGATTCATGTATACTCTGGACAATTATAGTTTCTACTGCTCCTCTTTCATTTCTCCCAGCATTGAGTAGTCTTTATTGTTTCCATGTGCTTTTCATTGACTGCAGGACGCTTTTGATACATTTGTATGCAACACATGGTTAACTTTCTTGTTTTGCTTTTTTTTTCCAGATATCTTGGTTCATCCCAAAAATTATGCCTTTATTCAATATTTGAAGGAAGATCATGCAAAGCTTGCTGTTGAAGGAGAGAATGGAAGTACACTGAATGGTTGGAGGTTAGGTAAGTGAGATGAGGTTTTGAAGAAAAAAATTTGTTTGTGTAGTCTTTTGCTTTTGACTGAGAGTAGAGCTGGAAAGTTTTCTCTTCTTTTTCAGCAGTATGTTTATAGCGAAGGTCCTTGGTTCAGTATCCAGACTCCTATGTGATGTACTTATTATGCGTGTAGGAAAATGATTCCCTTTCTCAAAACAGGAATGGGGTCCCGAAAGGGTTTTAAAAAAGAATTATTTTGTTAATGTAAAATCTATGTGGAGAGGCGGGCAGGACTTTCCTACCACAATTAGGTGTGCGTCATATAGATCTAACTTGCTACACTGTCAGTATGGTTTATTCATGCTGTTATGTTCTGTAACAATTTATGACTGTGTGATGTCATCAATGTGTACGAGGGTGTCTGGGTAAGTTTTGTGGGATTGTCTTTACTCAAGGATGTACTGGAGAGGGACAGAGACAGAGTGAGAGAGAGAGAGAAAGAGGATTACTCTCGGAGCTTTTCGCTGCATACATTCTTTGTATTATTGTACAGCGCATTGAGTACTTCTTTGTCACAAATTGTGGAAATGCGCTATATAAATGCAACTCAGGAATGACATTGTTTCGCTTATTTTTTTCAGATGTGAAAATGGCAAATGAAAACCGCGGCCGTGGAGGTGGTGTTTCAAGAGGTGGCCGTGGAGGAAGAGGGTAGGTGCATGTTCAGCTGCACTGCAGAGACGCCAGAAATATGTGCTTTTTCTTTGTTGGTCAGGGGTGAAAGGCATTGATGTTGATGATTTGTTGATCATCTGTTTCAATTGATTTTAACACTTTGCAGTCACTTGGCTCATGGCGCAATAATGCGCCTATGAAAATGGTCCATTCCGGTCACCTGGCGCAGTTCTACGCCCAACCTGTGAAGTCTTTTGCAATCACTCTCCAGGCAGGGTGACCAGATGGGGTATTTTGTACTGTTGGCTGTGTGACTGCAAAGTGTTAAATAAACATTCTAGCACACATGTAGTGAAATCGGTGAGTTTGAGGAAACTTTTTGTAGCATAAATGTTTTACGTACAAAGAATGTATGTGTATATTAGAACAAGTTTTGGACCTGAAATCTTCATTGTGGGTGGTTGGCCGGTGCTCTGGTGTGGTTTGTTCTTTCTTTCCTGTCAAACATCTATCGTCCTTATCCCTACTCCATTTTTTATGTGTTTGTTGTCACTCCCTTGTAACACCTCTAATCTTAGGCACTTACATGATGTAGTAGTATTGCAAGTGCAGTAAAACACTTTAATTAAACCTAGAACAAAATCTTTGTTTAACCTTTTGTGTCAGCATAAGGGAAAACAGTTCAGTGCCACTCTTTTTATTTTTTAATGACTGGAAGGATGTTAGAATATATAGTGAAATAGTGTTTGAACTATAATATGAAACCTCCTAACTTTTCATTGTGTTTGTGTTGCCAGGCGAGGTGGAGGATGGGGCGGTATGGACAGAGATCGTTCTCCCCGACGTGATGATCCTGGGATGGACCCGTATGGCGATCCCTATGGGCCTCCTCCTGGCCCTCGAGGGCCCGGCCCGTATCCCCCACCACCCCCAGGGTAAGACGAGGCTTGATAAGCGCCGTAGTTGTAACCATACTCTGTGGACCTTCCTGTTTTTTATTCCACACAGTCTTTGGCTTTGGCACCGCAGGAATTTGAGTTGATTCGAGTGCACAGAGCTTGCTGTTGTTGGGATTTGCGCTGTACAAATGCTATCTATTATTATTATTATTATTTTGATTATGGTTACGGTTTTTGTTGTGGGCCCCTCCCCATATTTGGTTAACTGTAGAGTTATTACGTAAAAAATTAAAATTTTTGTGTTGCATTATATGCTCTTCGGTTCCTGTGTCTTTTAAGATACCGTGTACTTGGTAGTGACTAAAAACTTTGCCATGCTAGAATAAAGTGTTTTTTGCATGCTTTTGAAAAATGAGTGATTCGTCTACTCTTAATTAAAATGTTACGTCATGTTATTTTTAAACCTGATCATTTATTTTTATTTGTGAAACGGCTATTTAGTTTTATATTGAAGGTAACATCACCTTTTGCATATAAATAAAAACTTTGAACACTTATCTGTTATGGTGGTTGTGAACTGAGGGGTTTGCAGCGCAGCATAAAACAGACATATCCATTACTCCTTTCTCCATGTGGCGGAAATGCTGTGATGGTAATTGGGTATTTGCAGATAAATCAACATATTAATTTGAACAGAAATGTTTTCCACCATATGTTTCTAGAGAAGTTACTGGATTTTTTGATTTTTTTGTTTTGTGCAGTGATTATGGCCTGAGAGATCCCTTCTACCCGGACCCCTATCGCAGATATCCACCGGAACCATGGCTTCCCCCTCATGATGACCCTTATCGGTAATTATACTGGAGCCTGTTGCTTGTGTTGAAAATTATGAATGTGGTTGATTGGCAGGTCCCCTGGTGTGGTTTGCTCCTTCTGTCTTGTGAAACGTCTGTCGTCCTTATCTCTCATCCTTGTATTTTCGTGGTCTTGTAACACCTTGTTTCTGGCACTTATATATTAATATGTAGCAATGCCAATTGCCCGCTGCGCCTTGGGCCGGAAATCGGCCTCCACGCGAGGGGTGTTTTTTGGGCCACTCGGAATCAGAAGTGACTCTCTTCTAAGTATAGTTACGGGAAAACTCCTGGACGAAAATAAATGAAACTCAGCAACCAACCAGAGGAAAGGTTAAACTAACGACATGCCAGCGTACCATCCCGAATGATTACTAGAACCGGAGATATTGCCGTGATTGTGCGAATTTCCTGTGCGGTTCGAAAACTAAGCAGAGCTGCGGGTTGATCGCCGACCACACAAGCGCCCCACATGTCTTCTTTATTGCTATAAAATTTCAGATCTCTGCGTTAAGTAGATTTTCCGTACCAACTTAAAATTACCACCCATCCATTGATAAAACACTAGATCTGGAAACTAGATCACGCATTCCAAACGCGAGGTGCCGGCATGCAAGAGGCGCGTGATCACTAGGCGGCATGTGATTGGCTGCCTATAACCAAATAGGTCACCGATGACTACATCGCGGGTTTTCCTGATAGCGCTTTACTGAGTTTTAGAAGGGGTGATCGCGTCGTGGTTAAAACGATGTCACGCAATTCAACAAATTTCACGCAAATATCAGTCTTTAAGATCCAAAGTAAGAAAGACATCGAAAAAGTGATAGCAGAACTAGATTCTGCACTAAAAATCACATGGAAATTCCAAGTTTCATTCATACGCTCCAATTCATTACTGACTTCTGAACAGTTTTTCCTCAAAATACATCAAAACATGTCCCACATTTTGGCGATTTTTTCCTATATGAAGGTCCTCCAACATTTTGCAAACAAAAATCCCAATAACTTTTTTATTTATCAATGGATTTTTAAAATTTAAAAACCATAGTTCTTAGAATTTACTCTATTTTCATTTAAGCTCATTTTTAAGCAATTTGGATGAAAATGTAATTTTTCATTGTCATTGCTATATAATATGTAAACTAATTTTGTTGTAAGTGCCATAAATTTCTTATTAGAATAAAAACAGACAATTATGAGTACAGTTGAAATTGTCCAAGACGATTGCCCTGCTCATTTTGATGTAATTTGTGAGTAATTGCTATATGTGGAGGAGTGTGTCTACAGTGCTTTTGAAAATATGAATTGTCTCTTCTCTTCTTTCTGAAAAAGTGACTGGTTAATTTTTTTGTTTCCTTACATGCACCATCATCACAGGTTGTGAACCGTAGACCATTGCAGCTCAACCGCTGAAACATGTTGTGATGTAATTGTGCTTACTACTTACTTTTACTTTTCCGATCCAGCGCCCATCTGGGGCCCATCGGCCTGTCGATATGACAAAGAATTTACAGGTTTTTATCAGCTGTGTTTTGTCGCTGTATAGAGTATTTCAGATATCTGGGGAAGCAGGTAGGTAGGTGCTACGCAGGTCGTTAAGTGCAGGGCAGGTAAAGAGATGGTGTGATACAGTGTGCTTACTACTAGTACTGCTATGTATGATGATTTTATAAAATTGTATTACTGAAGAAAGATGGTAATGGTTGCCTTTATATCATTATTTGGTAAGTGTTTTCCATTCTCAGCCTTCTTGTTTCTTCTTTCCTATCAAACATCTATCGCCCTTATCTCTCTTCCTTCTTTTTTGTGTTTGTTACTCTCTTGTAACACCTCTAATCTTCGGCACTTAAATGACCTTGTTGTGTTGCAAGTGCTGTAAAACACTTACTTAAACTACACATTCTCAGCCGTGACCCGTATGCTGACCCGTACCGAGACCCGTACAGAGCGCCAGCTCCCCCACCTCCTCCAGTCATTGAGTGTGAAATCTTTTTGGTCAACTCCAAATTGAGGTTAGTCAATTTTGATCATTTTCAGAGTGGCTATAAAATGTCATTCAATTTGTCTGTTTCTTGGACAGTTCCTCATTCCTCAACATTGATAGTAGTAGAGTTGTGAATGTGATGGCTGTGGAAGGTAGAATTTGTTGGGAGTTGCCTGGGGCTTGCACTTACAGAGCAAGTCTGTAAATTTCAGTTTGTTGAAACAGGCTGCAAATGAGTACTTTAGTACAAAAGTTCAGCAGTAACTGTTAATGCTGTAAATATTTCATGTTCAACGCTTTGCAGTCACTCAGCCAGCCAGCAGTACAAAATACCCCATCTGGTCACCCAGCCAGGAGAGCAACTGCAACCGACTTCTTGGGGGAAAGGATAATATTTATTGTGCCTAGTGACCGCAAAGTGTTATAGGTCTGATGACGGCTTAAGAAAAATGATCAGGCAAATATTTCAATGATAAATAAATGTTTGAACTATCTTTCAACGTGAAATAGCATGCATCAGTTGGAAGATACCAGATTACCTGTGTCGATTAAATGTTTGATGGCTGAGCTCAGTAACATCTTTCGTACTGTTCCGGAAAGTTGCCACTCATGTTCTTTTCCTCTTTTCCTGCTACATTAACCCATTATGCTTCCAGAACAGGGTTTTGCTGCAATGAAGCAAAAATGGGGGGAAAAACTTAATGAGCACTGGCCGTACTTGGACTTGTGTTTCTCTCAGTGGTTTCTTTCACCTTGCTCTTAGGGCTTTTGGAGAGGCAGTTCAAGTGAGGATCAAAGACCACAACATCATCACGGCTATCTCGATCATACCAGAGGGGAGGACAGCTGCCCAGATGACCGAAGAGCTGACCACACGCAAAGGTTTATTCGCCATCTTCATCAACCCACAGAACGAGGTTCACCGCTCCCTCACCCTCAACATTCTGCATGGCACCCCTCAAGGTGAGTTCATTGTTGAGAAAAGATGTGGTTCACATTTCTGACAAAATTGCTGGGTTGTTTTTGTTTTTTTCATGAGTTAACATTATATTGGAGAAGATGCCTGCTTTCCTGTTTCGGAATCCGCCGCATATTTTGGAGAAGAGAAGAATTGTAAGCAATCTTGACTCTTATCTCCTGAGGGGGTTTTCCCCCGCTATTGCTGGTCCCTCTTTTGGTATGAAACCTAAAAGTGACATATATGTCACTTAACTGGTTTTTAAATCAAAGTAAATAAACTTATTTTGATATTTCTTTATCTAATGAAAGAACACACGGTAAAAGAATCCTGTTTTTGGCAAACGCCAAAAATTAATTTAATGTCAAAGTAGTTAAGAAATGTGCCCAAGCCAGTCCCAGCAGCTTACTAGCACAGCCAGGAGCGGCTTGCCAGAGATAAGGAGTTCAACAATTTACACCTTAGAAATAGTGTCTTTTAAAACCTGAGAGGTTCTGTGAGTCAGTTCAATACAGCTAGGGGCACTGGCATGTACCGTACTTATTAACACTCCCGACGCTTCGGTATATGCAGTTTACATTTTTACGGTTGACCGTCGAGATTGCATTTTTGCTCCCGGTTTGTTGTACCGTTTTGTCCTGAATGGACATTGACGCGGCATATGTGGACACAACGAGTTTTTGTGAAAAAGATTAATAGAAGGTTCATAATTCAACGCTGGTCACATTTCTACTCTGCTCGCTGTTAGCCTGTACCACTCTGTGTATCAAGAAGCATCTTTGACCATTTTGCAATCGTTTACATTTTTTTCAAGATTGACCTTTGAAGTTGCGTTTTCTTCCTAATAATATACCTCTTTTGCGAAACTGGTGTCCACACGGCGTAGGTCAACAGCTTGTAACTAGAGATGGAAGTTTCCGTTTTTCCATCATAATTCCTTTTGTTTGCCAAAGTTTGTCTGTGTCCGTATTTCCGCTTTTTGAGAAAATTGTTGACGTTCGTATTTTTTAAATAGATGGCCGATGTGTTTGTCATTGTTTAAATTTCTGTTTGCGGTGCGTTCTCAGCTTATAGCATGGAGCCCATGTTTATCTCTGTGTGACTCATAGAGCCTTTGGCAGCTGTCTTCTGGCATGTTCTCCAACATTGGAGGTGGCTTTTTACAGGAGAGCTATATTTTCCCGTTATGGATGGGCGTTTTGACGGACTGAATACTCAAAACATTTTGCATAAATGCAGTCTAGCCGATCTTCCCATTGAAGAAGCGTTCTTTTCTAGTTTAGTTGCGTTACCGTTGCCGCTGAGCGTGATCGATTTTTTCCGATTCCTGGTTGTTTTCACACAAACTAGCCAACTTTTGGTGTCGAAGAATCTTCGACTTATTGTTACTTATGAAGGCTTCTATGTTTTTAGTGGAGCTGAAGACAACTTACGGTAAAACAAAATTTTCCGATAATGCGATTAATTCTAATAAATGCGCCGAAACAGGATGCGTGTAAAAAATTAATAGATTTTGTGGTTACTCGTGAATCAAGGAACAGGTACAAGACCGGAAGTTCGCTGAATGAAAAATTGGATTACGTTTATCGTTACCGTTTTTGTTTTTGCCGTGCGCCTTACACCATTAGGAACTGGAATATTTTGTTTCGCCAGTTTGCGGGTGACCGCCACACTTTTGTCTTCATGGAAGTTGTGATGTTTCGGTATTTCACACTTCAGGGATGGTACTAAGAAAGAGTACTGACCTGCATCCTTTCCCCACAAGCTGGGGGCTCTCTTCCTATTTGTCTAATATTCCTCTCCGAGCAGCAAATAATGACCCGAAGACAAATTTAGTTTCGTCGTTATTGGTTTTTAGTTAACACCCCTATTTCGCTGTCGTTCAATGCCGCTCGTTGGTGTTTCCGTGTTTTGTCTATGAGACATTTACAGTGAGGTCACCACGTGTACCCATGGTTTGAAAGGAATTCAGAGCTGATCGTGATTGCTGTGTGTCGCGAATTTTTATATTTTGTGTTTTGCGATAGCCCACTTATTGCCTTGTTTTAGTATTGATTCTTTGGGCGTTTTGTTCCACTTTATGACGTACACAAAATCTTACATGAGACGATCATGATGGCTTTATTTTTTTGGACCCACCCTCTGTACGTCTAAATGGAGACCTTAACGTTGACAGTTTTTACCCGCAAGAGCGTAAGCCGTGAATTTCGACAATTTTTTGTGCCAAAGTCGATATGTGAACCGTGACACTTTTTCATCTGAAATTAACTCACTGGCTGCGGTTCAAACTGTCACAGTTACGGAACGCGCGGCCGGTTCGCTAGTATGGTTCCTGTGCCCCCGACGGGATGGACTTTGCGCTTTTGTTCCGAAACTTGTGCTCTCCACTACATGTACGGAAAGGACTCCGGTGATAGTTTTACCTCTTCTTTTGTGTCGTGCCGAGTTTGGCGGAAGTTGCGTGGTAACTTTTTAAGTGATTGAAGTTGAAGGACAGTCACCCCAACTGGGGTTGAACTGACCGGAACTCACGCGATGTATTTTCTATACAGTAAGATAGTAACTTGATAGCCGCATCGAAGAAACGGTCGAAGAAGTCGCTTAAACAAGAATCACATTTTGCTGTTTTCGATACTTCCGTTCTTTTTGCTAGTCTTAGTGACTCAGAATATGACCAGTCTGATAGTTATGACTAACTTATGACCCTGGATATGTACCCAAACACGGCTTAAGTCGTAGTTTTAGGGCTAGATATACAACACAAGCACTGGTGCTGTTGTTAGCACAAAGAAATCACTTCATGCACTCCATCTGTCTCATTTCATTCAGTGTATGGGTCTGAATCAATGCACAGCCCTGCTTTTATATTTTCACCAAACACTCGCACATGCATACAAGTCAAAACAGAACACTTTGAACTTTTAATTTTGTTGTTGTTGTGAATTTCATTCTATATATCACGTCTTTGGAAATTTTTCAGAAAACCAAATTCATGCCAAATTTTTTTTAATCCTAAAAAATAAAGTATTAGACTTAGACAATTTTCGTTTTTTTGTATTAGATTAAGCTTGAATGTAACTTTACTGTTTCAAAAAATAATTACAATAGGGTGGTTCTGAGAGTTGTGGTGGTGTTTTGAAATACTCCCAAAAACGCCAGTATTCAGCGCAAGTGACTGGTGAGAGGACGCAGTAGTCAGTGAGTTAAGACCGTGAAGTTTGGCCGTTGTCTCAGCCGAAATTGAGAAAGTGAGCTTTGAGCTTTGATTTAGACATTGGGTTTTGAGGCTTCTCTCCGCCGACATCAAGATTCTGAACTTTGTTGTTGCAGCCAAAATCGAGACCGAGAATTTTGAGATCCGTTTCTGCCAAAATCAAGATCTTGAACTTTGAAAGATGTTTCTATTTAACCGAAGACAAAACAAGACCCTGAAGTTTGAGGGTTGTTTCAGCCCAAATCGAGGACCTGAATTTTTAGGGTTGTTTCAGTTGAAATAGAGGCGTTGAAAATTCTGAGAGTTGTTTCAGCCAGAATTGAGGTTGTGGGTTTTCAGAGTTGTTGCAGCCGATTCACGGTTGACATTTCTGACTTTTCCACTCTTCGTTTTCTTAGCGTATACACGAGAAGATGCCAGGTGTCCAATTTTGGAGTTGTTTCTGCGGAAATTGAGATTGTGAACTTTGTGGGTTGTTTCAGCTCGCAATTGAACCGTGAACTTTGCTAGTCGTTTCAGTCGTAACTGAGGGCTTGAATTTTTTAGAGCCGTTTCTGCGAAATCGAGACTGAACTTTGAGGGATGTTTAGCCGAAACAGACTCCTTGAACTTTAGTTGTTTGTGCCGAAATCAAGACCGTGAACTTAAAGAGCTGGGTTAGCCAAGATGGAGACTGAATCTTTAAGAGTTTTTTCCGCCAAAATCAAGGGTGTGAATTTTTGGTTCCTTCAGCCAAAATCTAGACTAAAATTTTTACGTGATTTTCAAGGCTGTGAATTTTGAGAGTTGTTTCTGCCAGAATGAAGGCCATGGATTTTTCGAGTTGCTGACTTTTTGTTCGTTTTTTAAAGTTTATGAGCATACATTATACTGGAGAAGATGCCCTCCAGGTGTCCAATTTCGGCATCGAGATCGTGAGTCTTGCGAGTTGTGTCAGCCAAAGTCTATGGCCATGTCCTTTGGGATTTATTTCTGGCAAAATCGAAACCATGACCGTTGACAGTTGTTTCTACCAAAATCTAGACCTTGAACTTCGAGAGGTTAGACCTGCATGTTTGCCGACTATTGTCTGAAATCTGACAATCGCGACCCGGCCGATGCTATCGCTAGGCCCACCTGTGTTAGGCCTAGTCAATGTGCGAAGTGCGAGACCTGGCCGATTGCCAGCGCCCCCTTTTTCTCCGGTCGGCTTTGTCTGCACTTTCGTTTTCGTGCTGACTGCCGAAGTCGGTGTTTCCGACATAATTGTCGGAACCCGAGTAGAAATACGAATACAAAAAAGGAGGACGACCTAAATTAGATCTAGTTTCAGTTTCTTGCTCAAGCGGCCATTTTGAATTTCGTCTGTTGACCGATTGTTCGGATGTGGATTCTTTCAAGGCCTACTCTCTTGTTCTAGTAGATCTAGATTTATAAATATAGATCATAATAGAAATCTAGACCTCTGTGGAGGATTCATATTCCAATTCTATTGTGTCAAACCCTATTATAGGTTGTGCTGTAATGTTAATGCTGGTGAAAGAGCATTTCATCAGGTGCGTAAATTATTAGAGGACACTCGGTCCCTCTGTTTGGATGCGGATTTCGTTCAAGGCCTATTCCTATTCACTTGTACTACTAGATCTCTAGATCTAGATCTAGATTTTTTAGATCGCTAGATTTATATGGAGGATTCATATTCCAATTCTATTGTGTTATTGTATCAAACCCTATTACAGCAATGTAGGCCATTATGCTCCTTGTTTGTTTTGAGGTGTGGTATTTTCATTTTAGACCTTTGCTGGCTTTTTTTTCTGAAGGGCTGTTGCAGGTTCTTTTTTGGGGGCTGATACCCCCGCCCCCAGCATGTAGATTTATCTACCTTTACAAGTGCTGCTATTTTACTTCTGTAACGAGCGACCACTATGAGAAAAAGTAGAATTGCGGGCTTTTTTTTAAGGGTAAGGGTAAGGTTATGTGTTAGGCTTAGGCTTTGGGTTCAGGTTAGGTTTCTTCTTTATTGTGTTTGTTGGGGTGGTCGCTAGTTACACGGAAGGGGGGGGGGAGGTGTTGTGTGGTGTGCGCAAAATTTTCAAACAACCTGGTTGAGGCTCACATGCAGGTCTAAATAAGTTACATTCATGTTGAAACATGCAAGTTCCGAGCCTGGGTGCAAAAATTATTATATCCAGATTATTGTGTACCCATCGTATAAGTGAAAATTGAAATGGTCCAAAGAAACGAAATAGCTTGTTTTGATATATTTTCTTTTTTTAGCTTATTTTGATATTTCTTTTATGTGTTCAACAAATGGCCGTGAAGACAGCATTCAACTTTAACTGCTATGTAATATTGTCACTTGAAGAGAAGTTTGAAGCTGACCTCATTTTCTGTTTTGTTCACTGATTCATTTGGCTTGTTATTACCTTGTTTTATGTTTTTAATAGTGCTTAAGTAGACTGGTCTTTTGTATTTTGAATCCACAGACAAGAGCCGAAATAGACTTTTTGTTTGTTTGTAATCAAATTAAAAAAAACACTGCCCTTTTTCTGTTAGCAGCAAGACAAAGAGTTGCCGTTTGATTTAAGCATCAGCTCAATCCAAAACATTGATGAATCGGAATTACTTGAACTTGAAGATATACAGGGAACACTTTTGCTAGGTCAATGCATTTCTCTATAACAGGGTACCAATGCATATAATGCAAGCATTCAATTTTAGCTGTGGTTTGTATGCATACTTACACAGTGGGGGTTATGGGTTGAATTTTATCCCAAAAAATTTCATGACATTGTTGAGAGTTCTTCAATTATGGTCAAATCCATAAGGTAAAATGGGGATGCAGCACTTTTGTATTACAGCTGGTATTTTTTTTCGAATGCCTTTATGTAACCATTGAATAAATGAATGAATAAGCACACAGAATGATTATATTTATAATATTGTGTTCGAAGATTGAAGTTACTTATGTTTAATAACTCGTGCAAGCTGTGGGTGTCTTAATTTTTCACCAAAATTCTTTATTGGTGTCGTATTTAGAAAAAAAATAAGATGCAGCTGAGGAATGGCCCTGTTTCACAGATACTGGAAGAAGAAATATACCGTACTTTGTTTAAAGTTCCTGGTTTTGTGATTTTCTTTCCCCCCACAATACAGAACACAGAAATATGCCGCTCGACGATGCGATTGCTCTCGTTGGCCGCAGCTTCCAGAAATACGTGGACGGTTTGAGAGAAAAGGCAAACGCAGCAGCGGCAAGCCCTCCTCCCAGCACAGTCGCTCCGGCCGCTGCCCCCGTGCGGGTGTTCTTGCCCCCGTCGAGCGAGGTGGCCTACCTCCTGAACCTTCTGGCGGACAACCGGGCGCTGACCGTGTCAGAGCTGGAGTCGGTGATTAAGTACCTGCAGGAGCGGAGGGACAAGCTCATTGACGCCGAGAGCCGGCCTATCATCACAGATGGTTAGGGCCTTTTGTTTTAAAAATCTCGATTTATAAATATGAGAGTAAAAAGCACTACTAAGCGTTACGAAAAGTTTGGCAAAATTGTTGTTAAAGTGATGATGACTTGCTGGGTTTCGTGAATTGATAAGAGTCGTGGTGTACTGAAATGATAAAATGTGAGGCATCGTGTTGAAATCAGGCGCTCGTCAAAATAATGTGAGATCCGAGAAATCGGCATTTTTCGGCCCGTTTGGAAATTTTTTTTCAAATTTTTGGTTTTTAGCTTAACACATTACACCCTAAGGGCCTGGACGGGAAGTCCATTGTTAGATCCTAAGTAAGGGGAAAGAACCCACCTCCCCTGAGTACTAGCCTTTAAAAAACACATTTTAAAAATACAAACAAATTCCAAAAATCCTGAAAAAATAAAAGTTAAAAAGAAAACTGAATGTAGTTTCAGAAAAATATAACTTTATGTATGCGCAAACTGTTGGAAATGTTCTAACTTTAGTTCAATCGGGGTGTCCGACCAGGCACTCTTACTCTCAGCCTCGCGGTCGGGCCCTGGGTCTAAATTCTAGATTTTCTCCGTCTGATCAATCGGAATCGCCCCAAACTCTTCCTACAACGTTTTCATCAAAATCTGAGCCATCTGATTTGTCACATGATCGTTTTTGCTCAAATCCATCGTTATTTCCGTTTTCGAACTCAATTGTGTCGCTTTTCAACAAGTCGAGACACTTTCGAAGTGTCGGTAACGCGATCGCACTTTGATAAGCTCTAATACTAAAACTACTGGCCCGAAAAATTTCGTTTCGGTATCAAACGAAAGAAGAAACTTTTTGCTATACTATGCAAATCAAAATCCCGGCTCCAGAGTCTCGTCAAGGCGAGACTTTCGTTTCTAAAGACGCTGGGTCGGCGCGGGCGGTTCCGGGCGAGTCAGGGTGGAGCGCGTAAGGGAATTCGCGGGCGAGTTAGGGTGTAATGTGTTAACAGCTTGTATGTCCTTTCAAAAAGACTTATGTGTAGATTTTATGGAAAAACGTTGATTAAAGGCACACAAAATGTAAATTTGCAGTTTCCAAGGACTGTTAAGCTATGGAGGTCACCAAACTTTGGCAGCCATTTTCTTGCTAATTTTATTTCTGAAACCAAGTGACCCCACTTCCTTCAATCGCAAATATTTTGACTTCTATACAAGATAAATGGATATTTTTGTCATCGAAAACAAGGGAAATAAACAACCTTTAAGATGATGCCAATAACTTCATATGCCCACAAATTGACGAGCGCCTGATTCCACTTGGTCTTGACACAAATGGTAATTAAACCATCCATTTTTTTCTTTCATGACATATCATAGTAAAGTGACGATATATGAAATGAAAATATGGAAAAATAGTCTTCAAAGTCACAATACTGTGAGGATACTTCAGTCTTGAACTGGTTTCTCCTGAACGTTACAATGGTCAAAGAGTGTATCGGATCTAGTCGTAGCCAGAAAGATTTGAGGTTACATTCCTGTGTACTCTGTCTCCGATGGTAACTGTAGTGTAAGTATTATTATTGAGAAACAGTGCTTTTCTTAAAAGTATGTATACTTGATTTTCTCAAACTTTGAGTGTTAGAAGAACTTTAACCCTATCCGTACGCTCTGGGGTCATTTTGTACCCCTGGGGTTGTATTCTTCACATTTTAGAATACTTCTAGTACGAAGATCTCTTTGAAACTTTCAATATTTCTCAAAAAATCATTTTGACAGACTGCTGTGCAAAGTGAACGGATCGGACTAACAAGTAAATTTTTCATCTTTGGAAAGTGGTGGCACAGAGTTCCCCACGTCGTTGGAATACGATAATGAAACATGATGTACAGATAGGGTTAAAAATAGAAGAAATTTTGTTATCTTATCATACACATGTTTTGGTTTCGCAGCAGTGCTTGAGTATTTAACACCTTGTATCAACAGATGGTTACGTTAAGTCGTCTGCAAGCTATATGAAGTCACCGTCTGTGCAAAGGGAAACCACACCAGCTCCTGCCAAGGAGGCGGTCGATCAACTCAAAGTCCAGCAAGAACTGACCAACAAAATCTTGAGCATCTTCAATGGGGCAGGAGGAAACATTCAAGGAGTGCCCCCGGCCAGCTCTGTGGCCGTCGCGGCGGAGCCCCGAGGTACCCCAGCCCCCCAGACCTCTGCCGGTTCTTCGGGGGGCTCCGGGGCCAACCTCATCAACTTTGACAACCCGAATGTGCAGGCAGCACTGGACAACCTGATTCAGAGCAGCCCCAGCCTGCTGAAGAACATCAACACCAACGCGGCCACGTCCCAGCCTCCGGTGGCCAGCAGCGCCGCTGTCTCCAGCAGTCAGGGCAGAGGTTTGGTGGCGGGCGCTGCTGCTTCTGCTGCTACCTCCGCCCCAGCCCCGCCTCCGGCTGGCTACCCACCCCCGGGCCCACCCCCACCCTCGAGTCGCGGCGGATATCCTGGGGGGTATCCCCCACCTCCAATGTCAGGCTACGGCCCGCCGGGGGCTATGGGCTACGGACATCCACCAGGGGGCGCTCAGTATTGACAGGTTCCGTGTTGCGGCAGAAAAATGGTGTTGGAGAGATTGTTAAATAAATGTGAAACTGTTCTTTGAAAAGAAGTTTCTTTGGTCTTGACTAAGAAACTCTCATTAAAAATTTTTTAATGTTTTTTGGAAATTAAAAATCATCGTTGAGGTAAACTTGCAGTTGTTTTACGTTTCATTAAACATTACGCTATTTGTATTTGTATAGTTTTTGTTTGTGTTTTTTCATTCCTTTTTTAGTCCTTGACTTGATCTGGTGCGTTTGATGTTACCTTTTGATAAAAACATGTATTTCGTTGTGACTGACAATAAATTTTTATTGTCCTCTTCTCGTTTGTTGTTTCCAAATTGTAGAATATTTTTCTTGTTCCCAGATAGTTGTATCTAATAAAGTGAACCTCTCTTACAACAAGATTTTTCACCCCAAACGTTTGTAGGAAGTACTGATGTGAAGACGACAATCTGGCCGATGATGCTCATTTTGCTTGGCTGCGCTTGTTGGGCGATTAGCGCTTCTCATTCTTTTTTATGTAATTCTCCCTGTGTACATATTTATGACTTCAATTCCTTTCTGACTCGACCATACTTTTTTTTTCCTCAAAATAAGTCACTCCATCTTTTATTCATCTTCTCATAAAAAACTTTCTCCAGGTATAGAGCTGTCCCCGCAGTTTTATGAAAGAAAAAAAATCAGAAATTATTCCAACTGAGACCAAAAATATGAAATTATGCGATTCTGTTAATTTTAACAAAGAATGATAAAGGAAAATAATCAGAAATTATGCAAAAAATGATCAAATTTGGCTAAATTATGCGGGGTGCATAAAACCACAGGGACAGCCTTACTGATGCGCACACAACACTCTAAGTACAGTCTAGTAATATAACGTCTTTCTGCATTGCAGTGAAGTAAGTGGCACCCACTTGCCCTTTGGGTTTGAAGTATGATATTCTTTCAAGCCCTGTATTATGTCTGATCTACTTAAATATGTGCTCTGCCGTCAGTTGGGGACGGTTGAAATATAATGATATAAAAGAGATAATGTAATACCGTATATATGGAAGTAAGAGGATTGTTTTTACAGTTGATCCGTTTGCTGACAAGTTTAGAATTGTAAAGAGCCTAAATAGGTGATGTTGATATTATATCAATGAATTGGACTAGGTTTTATTCTAATGTTGGGTAAAGACTCAGTAAGTTTATAAGTCTACGGTCTGGCTATGTTCATGTTGGACATTCCTCTAACCTTTTGTTTAAACTGGGCACTGGAAAACTCTCCTTTTCAGCACTTACATGACCTTATTGTGTTGCAAGTGCAGTAAAACACTTACTTTAGTTTTAGTTTTAGTAAAGAGTTTTACGGCACTTGCAACACAATAAGGTCATATAAGTGCCGAAGATTAGAGGTGTTACAAGAGAGTAACAACAAACTTAAAAAAGAAGGAGGAGAGATAAGGACGATAGATGTTTAAGAGGAAAGAAGGAGCAAACCACACCAGAGCACCCGCCAACCACCCACCAAATAAAACAAACTCTCCTTTTGTTTCCAATAGGAAAGGTCTTTTGCTCATGCTGAGTCATCGTCAGAAGAAAAAAGAGTACCTTTGTTTAAGCCTGCTTTATAGGGTGAGTGAAAAGACGCACTGGAGTTTGAGTGACACATTTGTCTTGTGGCAGGGACGACATGTGCATTTCCCTACAATACCCCCAAAAAGTTCAGCTTTGTTTGATTTTATTACCTGGTTCCCAAATTCTTCGTGCTCAGGAAAGTGAAACAGTTCTCATGCTTGTTTATAGAGTTTTATGTATCCCTGTGAAGTCTCACACTGACACAAGCCTTCTCGGACAAGGGCGAAAAATCTCGGAGGGCCCGTGTGCAAGTTGCGCACATGAAAGATCCTTTGGTGGTCTAAAATCGATAAGAGTAGGCTTAGGCAGCCACCCGGGCAAAATTCAAAATTTCCTGCCAACTGAAAAAGTTTAATGTGTCCCACGCGCTCTTTTGACCTTATGCAGTTGCGAGCGCTGTAAAACACTTACCAAAAAACCCCCCCAAAAGCACTGACTCAACTCCATGATGTGGTCAAAATTGTCCCTAAGACCAACCCTCACTCATTGTCAAGCAGAAAAATGGTTGTCCTAGATAGACTTAGACGTCTTGGACAGTCTTATTGCACCTGTCATATATGTTATATTTTTTTTAAGTCTCGGGGGGGGGGGGGGGGGGGGGGGGCATGGGAAGTGGTCATTTGTATGGAATTGTATTGGATGGGTGGCTGTTGGTGTTAGCAGCTTCAACCTAATGTACCGTAAACATGATCCACTTTTCAGTGATGTTAACTTTGCAGTAATGACTCGAATTGGCGAAGTAGTTATTTTGAGTAATTCCTCCCTTTGAACCAGCACCTTGTTTATATATGTGTATATATATAATGTGTGTGTCACGACGCAGTGGAATCGGGCGCTCGTCATTTTTTTGGGCATGAGGAGTTATTGGTATCATCTGAAAGCTAATTTATTTGTCTCAATGCTTCCAATGAAATAAATATCCATCTATTTTGAATTGAACTCAAGATATTTGCGATTGAAGGAAGTGAAGTCACCTGGTTTCAGTGGTGAAATTATCGAGAAAATGACCGCCAAAGTTCCGGTAAATCCAATGGCTAAAGAGTCTTTGAAAACTGAAAAATAACTTATTTTGTGCCTTTAATCAGCGTGTTTCAGTAAAATTCACAAGGGAATGTGTTTTTATATGGACATAAAAGAGGTTGGGCCAAAAAATAAAAATTTCCAAACTGACGGAAAGATGACCATTTCTCTGATTTCTCGGTTTTGACGAGTGGCTGATTTCACCACACTGCCTCACAATATTACATGTATTTTGATTCTAGTACACGTTGCTCATCAAGATTTACTGGCGCTAAGTTGATGCTGTTGTGAGGCTACAAAACTATGAAATGTATCACTGTCAGTATCAGACTGGACTGTTGATTGGTGAAATGTATTTGAAATAAAATAAGATTGGAATTATTGTTTCATGTACTTTTTGTTGTCCGTGTTTTTTTGTCTTATCGTATATTTGTTGGGAGATCTTTTGGGTTGGCCCTATCCAGGCAATTACACGCTTCAACGTAAGGTAAGGACCACCTTGGCCTTGACGGACAGCCATGATTTTTTAAAATTCCGAAAAAAAGAGCAAAGAATGTTTCAATAAATTTTGTTCTGAAAGTGTTAATGGGTTATCAGTGTGTACTGCTAAGCTTCCTAAAGGGGCGAAACCAACGTGCAGCACGGAAATCCTGGGGGGGGTTGTTGTTTGGATTTTAGCCAAATTTGCTGTTTTTTATTGACTTGTGTGCGACACCATGGACATTCCTCAGATTTCTAGTGCACGTCATAAAATAACGTACCGTCTCGAACTGTGCTCACTTTGGTGGCAATTTAAGCCGCCGTTTGCGCAAAATCCAGTATCGCATCAACATCATGCCACCTAGACGAAAGCTGAGAGACTTTGATCGTGCCAGAGCTGTGGCATGGCTGCAGGATGGAGTTGGAGTCTGAGAAGTTGCCAGAAGGCTTACAGTGTCACACTCTGTCATTGTCCGTCTGAGGCAGCACCATCACGCCACTGGATCAGTCCAAGAACACCCTCATGCAGGTCGATCCAAGAAGACCACTCAAAGTGTTTGCAAGTGGTCCTAACTTATGTTGAAGTCCGTAGTTATTCATTAGTAAAGCATCATTGAAATGTGTGTGCCTGTAGTGAAAGAAAAAAGGTGCCATCCTCTCTAGACATGGTTCTTGTGATGTCTTTATAGGGACTTCTATGTTCTTTCGTGTTCTGAGATTTCATAATTTGAAGGAGGCTTGGAAGTCTGATTTTCTCTACTAACATTTTTTGGTACTACTGTCAACAAATGCTAAAGTGATCCTTTTTTTCACTATATCATTCTGTAAAGAAAATAAAAATGGCCATTCAAAAGGTAAAATATAGGCTTAAAGTTGGTCGCTTTTTAAGGACAAGTGGGCTAACTCAGATTTTGGGGGTTTCCAGAAATCTTGAATTACACCAAAAGTAGGCATTGCCCTTCCTATAGGAGAAGTTTGGTTTTATTGGTGTGTATGTTTGTTTGGTTATAGAGAAAACTTTTCTTGTCCTTTGATAGAACTACAAGTACAAGGGGCAAAACTTTTATTTAGATTTTCTCAAAACAGCATTTAAAATTAGCCCCCTTTTGCTTAAATTAAAAGTGACCAGTTAAAGGCCTGTTGGAGCATTGCTGATGCAAAAACTATAGATATATTGTAGAAACATCAACAGTGGGCCCCACTTATCGGTCCGGATTCGGATAATAACAGGATTTCAGATAGCAGATTAAATCCCCGAGTCCAATCTCTCTAAAGTTGTAATGTACCCACCGTAGTTATAAAGTTCTTTTATAACAGGCATTTGAACAGACATGCTCAGCTAAACCGTGTTCCAACCATCTTCATAGTCCTAAATAAACGAACAAGAGAGCAGAGAGAAAAGCAAACGCAGCAAAAGAACAGCCAACGTTGACGGCAAATTGCATATATGTGACCCACAGTAGGCCTAAGTTGACTGTACGCATTTGGTGTGTGCAGGGGAGGGAGTGGGGGGGGGTACTAGATGCTCTTTGGTGTTGATGCTAATCCAGACCTGGATAGATGGAGTCAGGGAAACATTAACCACCCACGGCATCCGCCTGGCCCAAGTTCTCCGGCTGGCGACAGAGAGATGTCTCTTTCTTCCCGCGACACCAAAAATGGTATAAGCGGCGGATAAAAGTAAAGTAAAAGTAAGCAAGCTAATCCAGTCCGTGACTTTATTCTGGCACATCGTTACATTGTCTCCCTGAGTGGTGAAACTGTTTTTAATGCTGTCATGGAGAAACTTGGAGGAGATGGAATTCCGTTGACAAACTTAGTGTCCATCCTCACCATTTATTTATTTATTGCTTCGCCGTGCCCTAAAACTAATCTCGAAAAAATTTTCAAATCAATTTACCAAAGTCTTATGGAATCCCTGATTATTGGATTCGGCTTTAATTAACAGTGAGAATATCAGGTTGGTCATGGATGTCCTGTTTAAGCAGGGCTCTCTGTATAAATGGACAAGTTGACCTAGTTTTACCAAAATTAACGGGGGGGGGGGGGGGGGGGGGGGGACTTGAAAGTTTCACTGTTATCAATGAAACTGAAAAGTGAATTGACTTGAGTTCTTTCAGGATAGTTTTTTTTTGGATTGGTGTAGTCTTCAATGTTGGATCTCTGTTACTTCGTTTTATCATCCTCAAAATGAAATATAAAATGAATATATATTGAAATGTACTAACACCTGCGGATTCCTCTGGTTGTTTTAGTTTGATAATAACACCGGAATGATTTTGTGGAAAATGGATTAATTTTTTCTGTACCTGGTATGGGACCAGAATGAGGAACTCTGATCTATTTCTGCAAGATTACTGAATTTTTGTAGCTGCCGTGTGGATGGATGTCTTCAAAGGAAAAAAAGAGAAGCCAGAAAGTTTCCGTTATCTCAAAACGCATCATCTCTCTGTGAATGACTTGAGACTTCGTGCCATTTTGAGAGGTGGAAGGAAGTAATCTAGTCGCAGTCTGCTGGTTGTGTGTGATCTGGAGAATACCCAGTACCCAGTAGTTATTTTCCTGACAAAATACTGGCACCAGCAAGGA